AATTGATCACAGAATCATTTAAGCACAAGGAATACTAAAATGTAAACTTTAAGGCTTTATAAAAATCCCTGGAGTGCAGAAAATGGCATTGGAACATCTATTCATGTTTACTCCTTAAAAGCGGTTTTAAGTAAGGACCTCAAGATTGCAGGTGAATTCCTGTAGTTAACATAACAGATTCTTTAAATCAGTAAAGTTCCGCAGGTTTGTCACTGTTTAAGTTGGGAACAAAGAAACCCAATACCCTGCAAGCTACAAAAGAGAGGTAAGCAAGAACACAAACTCCCATTGCCCTCAGCACTTTTTATCTCTGAAATGCTATTCCAAGAAAAAGAGAACAACCTAGGTAGTTGCTTTTAGCATTTACAATCAATGCAAAGTTGTGGAGTTGAGTAACTTTCTAAATTGACTTACTTCAAAGTGGCTGTGGGTTAAGAATCATTAAACAAGCACTTTTGCTTAGCACACAGCAAATAGGTCTTTTAATCCGATGTTGGGGAAGAAGATTATTTTATTTATTCAGCTGTGGTTTCTGTGGAATTTCAAATGTAATTAAAAAAAAAAAAGGGAACTGTTTGGATGCATGGAGTATTATCCATACTTCTGATTGTTGTTTTCACTTAAAACAATAACACAGGGATTTGGGTGGGTGTGGTTGCCAGGAAAGGGGGCAAAAAGTTAAGAAGGAAGCATTCCAAATGATAGCCTTTGCAGAGCAATCGACTCCTTCTATCAGAGCATCTTATAGGGCTTTACAAAGGCTACTGATCCAGCTTTGTGGGTGGTGAATCTGAGTGGCAGGGAAACCAAGTGATTTCCCAAGGTCATCGCACACAGTGGCAAACACATTTAGAGCCGAGCAGTCAGTCTGTGGGCCATCTGCTTACACTCGTTGTCTGTTCCCCTAGAGTTTTACCCATAATTCCCACAAATCAGCTAGCCTAATAATGACTAGGAAAACGGACTTACAAACAGTTAAAGGTGGAATAGCTACACTACAAGGTCATGTGTTTAAGAACTGAAAAATTAAGAGAAACAAAAATAAAGCCTGTGGAGAGACCTGGAGGGTATTACGCTAAGCGAAATAAGCCAATCGGAGAAAGACAAATGCCACATGGTCTCACTTATTTGTGGAATATAATGAACTAAATAAGCTGATGAGCAAAACAGACCCAGAGACATAGAAAGAAGTAGGGTTCAGACTGACAAACTTCAGAGGAGGGTTGGGGAGGAGGGGTGAGATAAACCAAAGAACTTACATGCATGTATGCATAACCAAGGGACATAGACAATAATGCTGTGAGCAGGGGTAGGGGCGGGATCGGGAGGAGGGTGTCCAGAGGGGGAAAAGGAGAAACACCTATAACAAAAATAAATTAATAAAAATAAATAAATAAACCCTGTTAAGATAGCCTGACACCCCAAATATTAAACTCAATGTGAAAACCTTTGATAGAAAAAGTACAATCATTCAAATTTTTTTCTACTCATAATTATGAGCAATACTGATATTCTCGGGAAGAAACCCAAAATTAAGACGTTGACAATGCATCCTAGGCAAGTTTTGTGTGATAAATAGGAAGAAAACAGTGTGATCTTGCTCGTTATTAACCCCAAGCTAGGGAATGTGGAGAGAGGGGAGAAAGGGATGGTGAGCTTTGAGAGATGCTGAAAACCGGAGCTTTAGGAAACAGTTCGTGAGAATTTAATGCTGCCGTGAAGACAACAGATGGCTTTTTGGATGTTTCTAGTTCAGGAAGAACTGAGGAAGTGCTGCAGAGAAGAGCGAGTGAGTGCGGAAGGTCCACGTCAAGAACTGGTTCCAGGTACAGAAGGTAGATATGTTCAGGGGACTCTTTACCCAACATTCAAGGTTTGAAGGATGTAGGCAGGTACCTCCAATGCTTTCGTGGGTGATGCTAACACGGCTGCAAAGACCACGTAAGCTTCTCCTTGGGGCTGCTGTCTTCACAGCCTGTTATTAAAGCAACTGGATTTGGAAACCCAGTCACCGCTCCATGGCGTGAGCAGAACTTATTGATTCAGAAACTATCTCCCTCCTCCCACAAAAGGGTTAAGAGACAATTGATGAGGAAAATTAATCCACGAAGTATTTATTTATGGTGTTAAGACCTCTCTGATGATATGATAAGGGCTATTCAGTAGAGACTGTTTAAATGAGAGCAGAGTAAAAGAGGGAATTTCAGGAGAGGTGTATTTCTTAGGAAGCAGTGCGGTGGAGTTTGCTTAAAAATCATTGCAATAGAGCAGTGCAGTTTGGGACTTACTAAATCACAAATTATGAGATGCAGGAGCAATATTCTAGATGAAAATTTAACGTGGAGGGTGTGTGAAGGGGAAGAAAGAGAAATTAATTTAATTCCATTTGCTGATGTGACTGAAACCCAACTATTTTTAGGTATAATCCAAACAGTGCATATCTTCTCCATTTTGATTAGTAGCAAATTGGCAGAGAGTCAAAAGAATTAGTATTTCTCAGCACATTATGCCAGAAACGTACAAATAAAACTAAATTATCTATGCCAATGTGTTTAATTTAAATCACTGCTAAGGTTTTTATTTATTTTTTTGCCTTCCAAAGAATGAATGGGTCCAGCTTTGTTAAAAAAAAAAAAAAAAAAAATTAAAGCCTTTCTCAAATGGCAGCAAAAGTTAATAGAATACTTTGCTTTTAGACCCTTGGTTAGAAGCTCTTGCTAAAAAAGCATAAATGTTAATATCATCCTGATACTTTGGGTGCAGAATTTCCGCCTGGCAATTTCACATGTTGCCAGAGGAAGTCACCACATTCAACAAAACGCAGAATTAAAATAAGCTAGGAAAATGTGCTTAACAAGGAAAGGCTTCACAATAGCCACTTAGAAGTTATTAATATTCCCAGTTCCAAAGAAAGTATGGACTGAAAAAACAAACTCTATTCGCAAAGTTTTATATAGACAACTTCACCAAGGGATGCAGCTGTATGTGATACAATTACACCTTTCTACGTTGGAGGGAGAATTTCCAGATGCTGGAATATCATTCCACATCAAGGAACTTTCTAGGGTGCGGGCTAAACATAATTTCTAAGGTAGCAAATCAATGAACCTTGCTCATTTTGAAGTTCACTGTTTTAGTTTTAGTGTCAATGCCTTCAGAACTGTTACATGCAAACCCATGGGGTACGGTGGATTTTCTGGGTATCCACCTGCCGCTTCTGCTGTGCATTATTTGACCAGATTAAATAGGGTTGGCAGTTTGTTCCTCCCACTGCTTTAGTCATGGGGATGGCAGCCCAGCTGCCCACATTTCTACCATAAACTAATGTCTGTCTTCTTCACAAACAACAAAAAGTAGTTTTCATGGGTAGCTGGAATCACAGACACGGTCTGTTTTTTAATCCTTTTAATCCTTAGAGAACTCAGGGATCACAGAAAAAAACTTTTTCTCTTTCCTACAAACACATGTAAACTGGTTCCCAGATTATAGTGGGTTCTTCTAATTTACTAAAGAGCTCAGAGCTGTCTACTAGGTAGTTAAGTTATATATATTTGTTAATAAAGTTTAAAGGACTTTTCATAATTGTAAGACCTAAGGTCTGATGGGCCTCCATGTATGTTTGAAGCTGGAAAAATTTCTTTTTACTTAAATGTAAAGACACCTATACAAAATAAGTAGATAATAAGGAAACTGAGAAAATGAAGCATTAACCTGGTCCTTCAGTATTTTTCAGATGAAACTCTAGACATTTAATCTATTAATTGTGTAGTATAATTTAAAATAAAGAGGAACAAAATCCCTAACAAAAGGCATCTTACATACTTATGGTGGGGGAAGGGAGGGTAGAAATGACTGTATTTAGTACCCAGGGAAAAGGATAGTGAGAGTTCATCCTGAAATTGATTCTACATTCTCCAAAATAAACAGTTTAAGTATTTATCTTTGTATTTTTTAAGAACTTTTGCCATCCCTCCCCTTTTGTGCTGGAGAACGGGGTTAAACTTCATAGCAGCTTATACTGAAACTGCTACTATTCATGTATCCTTCTGGTCTCTAAAACAGCGACATCATTGACCTTTCTCAAACACTGTCTCCTGGTCTTTAGAATATCCCACTGCAAGAAAGGATAACCAGACTCGACTTTCCTTAGTGGAGAACAGTTTGTTCATGTTAAAGCTCAGGACGAGCCCAGACTTTACCCTCTTCACTTTAGTTTCTTTGCTGCACGATCATGAATTGAAGAACTGTTTTAAAAATACAAAGATAAATCTTTAAATCAACTTATGTTGGAGAATCGAGGATAAAATTTCACTATACTTTCCTGTGGAACTAATTTTATGAAAACTATCCTATCCATGGAGTGTCCTAATTTTGTTCGGAAGTTTTAAAATTTCACATATGCTTTTACCTGTGACCTTGCCCACCCAGAACTTCTGCTGAAATGGTTTATTTAATTACGCAAGAGGAAAAAAAATACCTAAAAGCTCTCATATATTTTTGCTTCACCAGGAAAACATGTTTCATTCTAAACAGCCACTGGAGACGTATGCACACACCGGTCATCTGTAGGCTGTGATTTTCTAATGGAAAACAAAAGTCATGGAAGCTACTTACCGGATTCCAAGTAGGCAGATTGTTCAACGAGTTTGTCTTCTTTCCTGGGTTTCTGTGCCAAGTTGCAGCTGAATTATCTGGCTCAATCACTTTTCTTTAGTAGATACATAATTCCAAATGTTACTTCTTAAATCAGGCGGAGCTGATGGGATCTTGAAGGCACCTACAAGTAGTCTAGAATACCTTCAAGCTGGCTATGAAAATTTAGGGCGAGTCTGCAGCTAGGTGCAAGCCTTATTTGGTTTAGAGGCATTTTGCTATTTTATTGAGTCATGAAAAGCTATTAAAAGAGCTCTCTGGGAAACCTATATTTTGAACAAAACAAATTGTCTTTCCCATTATCACTGACCCCTTACAGACACACAGTACATAACCTTGATTGTGCTTCACTGGTATTTATTGCACATGGACCAATTCCTCACACAGTAGTTAGTTGCACCAGAGTATAAATACTTGGTAAAACACAGAGGAAATAGAATTTATACACAAGTGCTCGATTTTACCAGCAGATTCACGTGGGCACTTGGACATAAAAAAATAATAATAAATCCTCAAGATAATTATATTTATAATATGGATACAGTTACAGTACCATGAAAAAAGAGTATAAAAAGGTATTTCTCCAATATATCATTAGCTCAATAAAATAATAGACAACAGAAGTAGAGTTTGAATTTTATTTGTTTTTAAGATCTTCCCTCCCTCCCCATTAAAAAATATTTAATTTCTTTTTGTGCAAGTAACACCTCTGTGAACTTTACAATTCCCAACACTGTGCAAATGGCATTCTGAACTACTCCTTTTTTTGTTTGTTTTTACCCACATGTGCAGTAATCTGAATTGTTTCCTCTTTTTTTTTCTTTTTCTGTTCTGTCTTCAATGGACAGAGTCACATGTCATAAAAGCTCAGTGCCTGGTCCTTCCAACTCTCATTGATACATAAATAAGCTGTTTAATATAAACAAGTCTTTCTAGCTTGCTGTGCAATGTGCACAGTTGTGAGGTAGAAACCCTCGGCCTGACCACCTAGGCGCATGGGCACGGCAGGCTTGCCCTGCTGAGAGGAGAGCTAGGTGAGGCTTGTTGCAAGAATAGCCTACACTTTTCTGAAACGCGATTTTTGCATCCACCCTTTCCCTTTGCTTTAAGAACAGAAGTCATTACTCAGGAATTAAACTGAAATTTCTCTGAAAAGCAGAAAGAAACATGACCTAACTGTCATTCCTCCCCCCTCTCTCTGGTTGGCTGCTCCTGCTCCAGGAAGGGGATGGAAGCCAAGTTGATAGACTTTTTATGCCCTTATGCTTCTCCCTTCCCCTACCCTGTCCCTGCAGAAAAGTGTCACCTGGGGGGGAATCCAAAGATGCATTATATGCACACATAAACAGGGAAAAGAACCCAAGAAAAATTAGCAAACCACTCTCCCACCCCTCCTCAAACTTTCCTTTCTGTGCAGCGGGCCGCGGCTTTTCTGTTTGTCTTGGATGATTCAGACGAGGTTTGTGGGCTTCGAGTTCACCTGCTGTAGGTCTTGAGTAAACAGCTCTTTCCCCTGGGAAGCCGTTCGGAGGCGCCCCGACTTTCCTAGCCCCGGTGCGCGCGGAGAGCCCGTCCCAGCAGGGAGCCGGGGAGGAGGCATCCAGCCCTACACCTTGGATTCCGAGGCGCAGCCCGGGCGGCTCGACTCGTCCAGGCTCGAGTCGCTGTCCGCCGCCGCCCCGCCGTTGCAGCCGGCCCAAGGCTCCAGCAGGCGGACGGGCGGCGCGGCCCCGACGTCGTCGTCCTCGTCGTCGGAGGCAGCCCCGGGGGACGGCGTCGGCCCGGCCACCGCCAGGCAGCCCGAGGCGCGCAGCCGGCGGCCGGTGGCCGCGTGGCCCCCGGCGGCGGCGCGGCGCGCGCAGCAGAGCAGGCGCTGGAAGGCCTTGCGGAAGTCGGGGCTGCGGCAGTAGATGATGGGGTTGAAGGCCGAGTTGGCGTAGCCCAGCCAGTTGAAGAAGACGAAGAGGCTGTCCGGCACCAGGTCGCCGTGGAAGGCCTTCACCACGTTGGCCAGGAAGAAGGGCAGCCAGCAGAGCGTGAACACGCCCATGATGATGCCCAGCGTCTTGAGCGCCTTCTGCTCGCGCAGGGCCACGAGGCGCGAGGGCCGCCGCTTGCTGGTGCGCCCGTTGGCCAGCGGGGCGGCGGGCCGCGGGGGCCCCGGGGAGGGCGCGGGCGAGGCGGGGCGCGCGGGGCTGCCCAGGAAGCGGCGCTCGCAGCTGTCGATCTTCTTCACCTGCTTCTGGGCTTCCCGGAACACTCGCAGGTACACGAAAGCCATGATGCACAAGGGCACGTAGAAGGAGACGACGGACGAGGCGATGGCGTAGGCCCGATTAGTGACGAAATCGCAGCACTTGGGGTCGTTGTAGCAGCGGCGCGCCTCGTCGCCCTCGGCCCGCCACCAGTGCATGAGGATGGGCAGGAAGGACACCAGAGCCGAGATGGCCCACACGGTGCACACGAGGGCCCGCGCCCGCGTGCGGGTTAGCAAGCTCTGGTAGCGGAAGGGCGAAGTGATGGCGAGGTAGCGGTCCAGGGCGATGACACACAGGGTCTCGATGCTGGCCGTCACGCACAGCACGTCCACCGAGGTCCAGAGCTCGCAGAAGAAGGAGCCGTACTCCCACCGGCCCCACACCACGATGGTAGCCCCGAACGGCACCACCAGCAGCCCCATGACCAGGTCGGCGCTGGCCAGGGATATGATGAAGAGGTTGGTGAGCGTCTGCAGCCGCGGCGTCTTTGCGATGGCCACGATCACCAGCACGTTGCCCGCCACGATGAGCAGCACGATGAGCGCCATCAGCAGTCCCATGCCGGCCGTCCACTGCTGCGACAGCTGCGTAGGGCCCTCGCTGGCCGGGGTCAGCAAGGAGGCGGGCGGCGACGCCGGCACCAGCAGTCTCGCAGGGGTGGCCGCGCCGTCGGGGAGAGGCGCAGCTGATGACAGGTTGCAGGGCTCGGAGGCGCCCAGGGCGAGCGCCCCCGCGCCCATGCCGAGCTGCGGAGGCCGGGGGCGGGGTGTGTGGCGGGGTAGGGCCGTGTTTGGGGAACACCCCAGAGGTCTGGGCGGCTGGGCGTGCGGAGGGAGGTCCAGGCCAGGTCAGGGCAGCCGCGGCGCAGAGCCGGAGGCATGGGCGCCGGGCGCCTTCCCTGCCGGAGCCGAGCGCTGTCGCCGCCGCCGCGGCCGCCGCTGCTGCTGGAGCCACTGCCACTGCTGGAACAGCCGCTGGGACCTCAGCATGTTTCTGAGCGCTCTGAGCCCACAGCATAAGCACCCAACCCACCCCACTCCCACTCCCCGAGCCAACCCTCCCGGCCTGGCGTCAGGCTCCTGCAGCCAATCGGGGCAAAGGCACGCCCCTAGCTCTTCCCCCACCGCCACCCCCACCCCGGCCCCAACTCCCCGCATCCTCCTTGTACCCGCAGTTCACCGGCTCGCGGGAGTCCGGGGCAGATCTCCCGGCCAGCACCTCCCGGTTGCCCGCCGGTGCCTGTGCGCGCACCCCTTTCTGCACCGGCTGGTTCCTGAGACCTGCTCCTGCAAGCTCCCTATGGCGTCTGGCTCTAACCCGCGTCCCTGCCCGCTGCTGGGGCCCACACTCTCTCCTGCGCTCTGTTCCCTTCTGCGCTTCTTTCGCCTCCTGCATTTAGCTCCCTACTTCGCCCCCGCTCCCCTGGCACCCCGTCTACCTCCAGTGCCCAGATTTCCTGCAGAGCAGAGCCCGTGCTCCTTTTCACGGAGAGGCGACCTCGGTGTTCTCTAAGCGCCAGAGTGCTTCAGACAGTCTGTTCGCTGGGGTTGGAGGAGTTTGGCTGAGAGATTGTTTCTCAGATCCGGCAGCCTAGCAGAGTATGTGTAAAACTCTTTCCCCGTCAAGAGGGGACTCAGTCAGCCTGTGTCCTGCTAGCGCTGGAGATCGAAAGCGGGTGTTAGTGGTTACAGGGAATTTTCCAGCCGAGCGCCTTGCTAAAGCAAACCACGCATCTGCGAGGAAAGCTCTCTGGGCGCCCTTCTCGCCAGGAGCTTCTGTGCCAGAGCAGCAGGAGAAAGGAAGCTGGGGTTAGTGCATCTGACAGCTTAGCGCTGAGGACCGGTGGGAAAAACGCACACACTCCTCAGTCCCAGCTAAAGAATATGAGTATGATGCAACAGCGCGTGTCAATACTGCAAAGAGAAACACAGATGTGTGAACGTAGAGTAAATGGCACTGCCACCAAGAAAGAACACATTTCATTACAGTTCAGACTTTTCACATTCGGGAGGAACACCTGAATCTTGTGTTTTATTACTCACATGATCTTAGAATTTGAGTTGGTCCAACACAAACAAAAAGGTACTGTTGGCTTTGGTTGACGTAATAAACTGAGATTTCGGATTTCTTGGTCTGCTTGGTTGTTTTCTCCTTTGCCCAAGTTCCCGGATTCTCAAAACTCTAGGATTAGTTTTGGAGGGATGAGAGAAGAAAATATGTAAGTACTCAGGAGGATTCAAATCAGAGAGCAGTTAAAATTATATCAGTGGTTTTTGAGTTGGCAAATGAATTGGTTTGAAATTCCTAAGTCCTGTGCCCAGCTGTCTGTGGATTATATGTAGGGACAAAAGGACAGAATGGCCACCAGGAACACACAGTGCCTCAGAACCCTCTCAAATGACGCTGTGGGAAGGTCCTCAGATCAGCCTTGAAAAGAAAGCGCCTTTAATCGATTCCTCGAGACGTAAACATCTTCTACTAGCCCATGTCAAGTTCATGAAAATGTAATGTAATGCTCACACATCTTTCCAGCAACTGGACCAAAGTCATTCTTACCTGCAGAGAGACTGACTCTTCCACAGCAACCCAAGTCAAGAGCTAAAGGCAATGCTTATTCAGCAATAACGACAGGCAGTTTTAACCACCTTCTCTTACTTAAATTCAAACATATAAATTTGCCTGAGGGCGGGGGGTGTGATTTATGTGTTTATTCCCCGCTGCCCTAGGACTTGTCAGCCTGGTTGTGATAACTCGGGGAGGCTGAGGAAGATGAGCAAGGGAAGGAGAGGGGCTAGAGAGAGGGTCCCGCCTGCAGTGTATAGTTTGGAGAACCCTAGTTACCCAGGTCACTGCAAACCTGTATTCCTTCCCAGCTTCTTTCTGTTCTCCCCTCAAGGGGAAGTCTCAAAATAGCCCAGGGATCGGAAAGAGTTGAATTTGACATTGCCCAGGAAAGGGGCTCTGAGTGCCGTGCTGTGGAGTGAGGTGTAGGGAATGTGGGGAGGAGGCTTTCTGTCCGGGGTCATCTTTCTGACAAGGGGTGTTACTGGAAGAGTCTGTGCCAAGCTGAAGTGCCTCTGAAGGGCAAGGGGATCGCAGTTTTCTGTCAGTGATAAAGCCAGAACTGGGCTGTGGAGTTCAGTGCAGAAGCCCGGATGCCAGTGACTTTACTGTTTGTATTTGTATGCATTGTCTATACCCTTATTTATTTGTGTACATATGTACATGTACAAACACACCGTATATGGGGGCATGAGATGTGAATTGTGGGAAAACTCCAGAAATCCTCCCCCCCCTTTCTCATTTAGAGACATCAGCTTCTCTGAATTTCTGGATAATAAATGCATTAAATGGTAATCAAAACCAGAAGGCTATTTTAATAGGAGTTTTACCAGAAGGCTGTAGGCAGAAAGGGATCTCAGGGAACTCGGGGCTTTCTTTCAATGGTACTGATGGAAAAGTGTGGAATAGTCCAGACTCAACTCGAGTTTCATTTCTCTTCAAATAAAATGGTCTCAGCCCTGGCCGGTTTGGCTCAGCGGTTAGAGCGTCGGCCTGCGGTCCTGAGAGACCCGGGTTCGGTTCCCGCTAAGGGCGCGTACTTCAGCTGCAGTTTGTCCCCGGCCCTGGTAGGTTGTGTGGGTGGCAGCCACTCGATGTGTTCCTTTCACATCGATGTTTCTCTCTCTCTCTCTGTTCCTCTCTCTCCCTCCCACTCTACCTGAACAAAAAATGGGAAAATGTCCTCGGGTGAGGAAAAAAAAAAAAATGGTCTCAGATCTCCTAGAAAATTTCTACATTTTATGACACTTTTGGGGGGGGGCATTTTTAAAAAATCCTTTTTTCTTTCTTGATTTTAGAGAGTGAGGAAGGGAGAAGGAAAGAGATATAGAAACATTGATGAGAGGAACATTGATTGGCCACCTCCTGCATGCTCCTCACTGGGGATTTGGCTCAAAACTTGAGCATGTACCCTGACCAGAAATCAAACTGGCAACCTTTGAGTGCATGGTTGACACTCAACCACTGAGCCACATCAGCTGGGCTGGGGGGACATTTTTAAGCTAACACTCTTTGTCTTTAGATAAGGATTCAAGATCAAGAAGGAAGGGTTCAATATATCCACTCATACAGGTATTACATGTTCTAAGTTCAAAACAAATTATACCTCTATTTTCCCACTCCCACTTACAGCTGTTAACATGAATCACTTTTTAGGAACCCACGAATTTGACAGTATTTGAGAAAAATTACAGCAAGCTCCAACACAATAAATGCTAATCAGCACAACTGGGCGCTAGTGGGCTTCTCCTTCAGTGTTTCCTGCCCCAGCTCTAGCTTTCTCATCCCGCTGACACCACGTTACACCTGAGCTTGGCACGGGTCTCTGACCTCCCAGCCTCTTGTCCGCTCTGCTCCACTTAAGTTGGCATCCCATAGCCAAATTAATATTTCTAAAATGCTGCTTTGACCAAGATGCTTTTCTGTTCAGAAACCTTAACTGATGAGTTTGACATTCAAAGCCCACCCTAGTCAATTTCCAGATAGCCTTCCCAGTACTGTCTTTACTAAAACTCTCCATATCACTGACAGTTCTGTATTTTCTTTCCTTTTCTGGATTGAAACTTTTTTTTTTCATCTGTACCCTCATTGAGTTCCTTCCACCAAGAATCCCCTTCTTCAGCTCTGTCTCAATGGATCCAGCCTTCAATATCGGGCTGATACTTTTTCTATCTTACAGTTATCTCTGCCCACAACTTCTGGAAATGATTTCTCCTTCCTCCACCTATAGGAGTTACTCTGATCATTGCATTTTACGTGTCAACAATATTTTGCCTTTTGACGTCTCTCATATTGTTGTTTAATTTTTATATGTTTTTGTCTTTTCTTCTCATATGAATTGGAAGCTCACCAAGGGCCAGGACTATCCTATACATTTTAATATCTCCCATGTTTACTAATATTTACTTAATATTCATTAAAATTAAGCTTTGATTCATATATATTTAATGTTCAACATTTAAATATTCTCATATTTACCAGTATGAGCAATGGAGTTATCATTGGGTTATCAATGGGAGTTATCAATGGGTTTGGAGTTATCATCTCCCTCATGCTTAGAATTTACAGTAATAACTCATATTCCTATAGCCTAGTCAATATTTTTATGTAAGAATTTCAAAATAATTTACAAATGCAAGATAGGCTCATGAGCTAAACCAATTTATACCATACCTACTCAGTCAGTAATGAATAAAGTAGGGCATAGGTAAGAGGTCTTCCAAAGGGGCCATCTATGTCCACATCTGTGAAAAGCATTACCTAATCTTCATAAGTGCCCCTCCTCCCCCTTTAGCCGTCATTTATGACGCTGTATATTCAGGCATTTCTGCCCAGGGAGAATGGCCGATGACTTAAATCTGATTCCATTTCTAGATTAGAGTAAGGTCAGCACAGTCATGGGCCCAACCCTCCCATGGTTGTAAGTCATGACTTTGGTGAAGATATTTCCGTTCTTGAGTTGACTTTGCTAGCAAGTGAGACAGAAACAAAAAGGAGTAGCCTACCTGGACAACTGTGGGAATGTAGGCCAAAGGAAACCTGGGGGAATTTTCGAGTACAGCCCCAAGAAATGTATCAAATCAGTAAGCAAGCAAAATCTGCCTCGAGGCTGATAATAGGTGGTGGGATTTGTGAGAGCTCAAGAGGCTGTTTCTGAGGAAAGAGATATAACTTTTCATATAAAGCAAGGCTGCTGCTGGGACAGTCCTTCGGAGCTAAGTAACCAAAGAACAGCCTGCACCCGTGGCTGGCACTTGAGGTCAGAT